CCGTCGCAAGCCCGTGAGACCCGACCCCACCGGCCTCGGCCTCAGTCCCCGGACTGGGGGAGGGGCGCAGGCCGGGAATCCCCACGCGCCGCACGCGGTCGCCCGCTCGAGGGGACCCCGCAGAGCGCCCCATCCCCCTCCCGGCCGCACGGGCCACCCAAGGCTTCCCGCGGACGCGGGGCCTGGGACTTTTCTGAGGTCCGGGCTGCCCCGACGACGCCCCCTGCGGCTCAGGCCCCTGGAGTCGGCTCTCAGGGTTCCCGCCGCGACAGCCTGGGCGTGGCCTAGGGAGCTGCTTTCTCTCTTCCTCAAGGGACAAAATGGAGTGGGCCGGAGGAGCAGGCTGTCCCCGCTGCCGGCGGCGGCGAGGCGGGCCCGGGCGTGCTGGCCCCGCAGCCGGCCTCTCCGGAGAGACCCAGCGGCGGCGGCCGCCTCCTCTACCGCCTGCACCCGGAGCGGGCGCGGACCCGGGCAGGCGGACCCCCGACGGCGGGAGGGCCCAGCGCGGAGCCAGCCGAGCCACGCTCCCCGCCCGGCCCGGTGCGCCGCGCCCACACCCTGCCCAGGCTCCGGCGCTGCCCGGTTCCGGCCCGCACACAGGACCTGGCGTCAACCCCACCGGACTGCCTCCTCGCCCCTGGCACCAAGGTCCTCCCGCCCCCTTTGTATGTCTGGGGGTTAGAGAGTCAGACGCATTTTTATGTTTGGCCAATCCCAAACTCAAACTTCTCTATAAGGCCCACATGCCTTGTCATTTGGGGTTTTAGAAGCCAAGGGAGCCTGGAGGAAGTGATGTTCTGGCCTTCCCATTCTTTCAGGCCTGGCCCCCAACCCCATCCCTAGAATTCAGGGTGGCCTCTCCTGACCACTCATCCCAAAGTAGGTTTCTTTTCTTTTGGTCTCTGGGAGGAATCCTGTTTTCACCACGCAGCACACGTTTTATACTAGGTCTCCTTGGTGTGTCCTGTCCTCTTCCACTCTCCTGGGGGGGGCACTCTGAGCTTCCTGAGATCTGCTTGTCCACCCCAACATGCCCTAGCACACTGCTGGGCCCTAGATTATCTTTTAGGAGCTGTTGTGCCTTTGCAGGCAAGGTGGCTGCTCTGGGCCAAGTCAGGAGCTGCATGATGGCTTCCTGGCAGCAGCTCCACAGAGGGCGGGTTCCGCCTTCTCCTGGCAGGTCAGCGAATTGCTGCCCTCCAAGACGGCTTGCCTGGTGATCTGGCTCCTGGAGGGTCCTGGGTAAGGACACTCAGAGCTCCTCCTGCCCCACTCAGCCTGCTAGACTTGGCTGATGCATTTCCCCCATGCAAAGGGGGAGGCTGGGGGAATGCAGTAGTGAAGACGTCTGAGGAGGGTAGGAAAAGAGGGCTCAGTGGGGGAAGCTGTGAGTCTGCAGGGCCCCACACTGAGGATTGTGACGCTGGTGAGCAATGCTTGGGCAGAGGGGGTGGACTTGGGAGTCAGGGACTGCCCTGAAAAGAACTGGGGCCTTTGCCAGGCAGCGCTGAAGGGAGGCACCTTCGGGCAGTGAGTACTGGCTGGGGAGAGTCAACGGTTGGCAGTACGGGGCAGGCGCCGGCAGATGGCTGGGGGACAGGGCGGGCATACTGTGATCCTGTGAGATCAGTTCTTGTGAAGCACACATTGGCATTTATGTTCTATAAACTTAGTCTCTTCTTGTTCTTATCAATGCTTTTATAATAGTTTTAGGAAAGAAAAAATATATGCATTAGCTATTATGAGCCTTCTTTTGAAGTCTTTCATTTCAGAAGTATGTCTCACTTAAAAAAATAAAATCAAAGTTAAAAGATATATGTGTGTGGAGGGTACTAATTCATATTTTGGTTTGACAAAATGACTCACTAGAATTTCCGCAGAGACATGTAAGACATTCAGAGGTGCACGCTTTCCCTCTTGTTTACATAAGCTCAAACAATACAAAGTCACAGTTATTTCTTTCAACAAGATGGAGGAGGCCCATTTAGCTAACCAAAAAGACATCTGTAGAAAGAGGCATTCTTTTTTTTTAAATAATTTTTTCAAAAGATTTTATCTGAGAGAGAGAGAGAACAAGAACGAGCATGGGGTGTGGAGTGGAAGGTGAGGGAGAGGGGGAGAGAGAAGCAGACTCTGAGCACAGAGCTATGTCCCTGGCTGGATCCCAGGACTCTGAGATCACAAGCCTAATGGAAGTCAGACACACTAGACTAAGCCACCCATGCACCCCAGAAGAGGCATTCTTGATCTTCAGCCCTGAGAGACAGCCTACAAAACCACCAGAATGTCAGTGGGGCATTATCTGTGCTAGTGACAGAAAGGCATCAACTCATATAATTAAATTTGGACACTTAGTGGATCGATATGACCCTGAAGTTTGTTAGCTTGCAGTAAAGCAAATAAAGAACACATTGACCAAGTTGAAAAACAATGCTAATGACAACTTTGGGCTTAAAAATGTACAGCAGGGCTCCAGGATGAGTTCTGTTGCACATCCATGGTGGGAGGGGCTCACGGAAGTGGAGAGAACATCAGGCAGGTGTGTCCTGCCCAGCCACCGTCTCAGACAAAATATTAGCATGTCATGTCATGGGGGAAACTTTAGGAATAAAAATAGGTGCTTGTGCTGACCCCTAGACCTCCTGAACTGCAATCTCCTGGGCAGGGACCTGGGCACCTGTGTGGAAAATCCTGTGCAGGTGGTTTTCACTTGCCACGTTCAGGGCTGGGAGCCCCACCACCTCGGACTTCCCACTAGTGTGAGGGTCGATCTGGGTCTTTCCCCAAAAGGCTGTTTCCATTTAAAAATCTGTAAGACCTCGTGAGGCAAGACAGCCCTCCTGTGGTTGTCCATTAACAGAGAGAGAGCGTGCTGGTCCTCCCACTTGCTAAAAACAGCACCAGGTGTATGTGTGTGCATGTGGGGAGGGTAGCGCACAAGGCTGTCGCCAGGGCACATGTGCACAGGGTCTCCAGTGACAGGATGTGTTCCTGAATTTAGGAGTACTTAATGCTCCAGCAGCACTGGGTGGAGGATGCTTTGCAAAAGCAGGTGGGGCTGGAACTGGGGAACAAGATTACATCAACGACGACCTAGTGAGCAGTTGGTGAGGAGTTTAAGGTGCCCTGCGCTCTGGGCTTTGCAGGCAGGTCCATCTTACGGGATCTTATAGATTCACTGACATCCCTGGTCCTAGACCGACCGTTAACTGGATTTATGACATAGTGGCCATGGAGGTGGCCATTCGTGAACTTTGAGGCAGGCAGTGATTCCATTCTTAGGGATTTTATAGACTAGTAAATGTCAAATAAAACGTTTGGGAACTGACATATGGTTATTAATTTTTATATCAAGGACAATGAAAAAGACTAAAAACTATGATCTATCATTTCATACGAAGAGAACGGTTTTAATATAATACGGGAATAACTTCAGAATATAAAAACTGCACACATTGGACTTTTAAAACCTTTGAACTATACTACCCTTGGCTTTCTCATTTTCTGTGGACTGTGGAGAAGTTTATCACCAGCTCCTCTTTGCAAACTAAGGCTCCTTTGCCTTGACCACTCAGGGGCAGCCACACCACTTGCAGATGATAATTTACTCTGAGAAGTGGTTTCAGAGCTTTATGGGAACCCTAAGGAAACTTCAAGCGCAGAAGTGGTTTCAGAGCTTTATGGGAACCCTAAGGAACCTTCAAGCGCAGAAGTGGTTTCAGAGCTTTATGGGAACCCTAAGGAACCTTCAAGTGCAGAAGTCTCTCGGTAATTTGCTTCAGTTTCCAATATTAATAACTGTGTGTTGAGTGCTTTAAAGAGAAGTGAACAAGATAGACTGAGGCAAATAGAATCTTGAAAACTTGGAGCTGGAATGGTTTTTAGCAGTGGTATCACCCTTGTGGTTTTTCAAGCCAGTGCTCCATAGGCCCCAGTGGTGCTGCTGGAACCAACAGAACTCCACTTTAATTATTTTCGACAATTGATCTTCTAATTAAGATAGAGTTCAATTGCTTAAAAAAAAAAAAAAAAGCTTGAACACAACTGATCCAGTCCATTTCAAATTTACAGGGGCAAACAGGCTGAAAGAAGCCTTGGGATTTGCCTGGGGCCACCTATTCAACTGGAAGAACTCAGGATGGGCTAGGCAGCATTAGTTGTCAGCCCTTCACCGCATCTGCTCCCAGATTCCTCAGTGGTTGAGCCAACTCTTCCCGCTGCTCCAATGCAGGGTAAGTTGACCCTCACACCTTCCCTCCTGGAACTGACTGGCTCCTGTCCATACTGGACCCTGGACTCTGCTTGAGACACTATTCCTGCACAATGTTAATGACCGTTTCATCAGCAACTGCTGAAATCTAATTTTTAATCTTCAGGACTATATTTTTGATCCCATTTTGACTTTTACTGGTAAAAGTCTCTTTAATACTATTTCGTTATATTGTATGAATATCATTTTATGATTCGAAGGTCCTATCTATATTAAAGTTTTTAAAGGTACTTTATTTTATTCAAGAGCCACTTTTATTAAAATGCCTGAACTCTACCACCTGGTATTTAACTGAGATGAAGGGGTCCACTTGCTTATCCGGGCTCCTCCTACAGCTAGTCCCACAGCAGGCTAACAACATTTAATATCTACCACAGATACACAATACATTCATTCTGTAGCAAGCACCTCAGTGGTGAAATTCAGCATCTGATAAAGTGTGGATATAGATCAGCTGCAAATAGAAAAAAAAGACTCTCTATAATCTATATATAATATATGTATATCTATGTATGTATATGTATATATATACATATATATGTATAATATATGTATATCTATGTATAATCTATATAATCTAAAACAATGATTTGCAAACTGTGATTTCCAAACATTAATGGGTCATAAGATCAATTTAGTGGGTTATGAGAACATTAAAAAACACACATATATTAAGAGCCAAAAGCGTAACAGGAAAGGAAATATCAAAGTACACTGCATGCTTTATGGGTAAATATTATTTCATAAACATTTTATTTTAATCTTATATATGTATTAACACATATGTACTGGGTCATGATATAAAATAGATTTCACAGCTCTCAACAACATCCCAAAGAACATATTTGGTCACTTGGTCCCTTGAGAAAAGATTTGTTTTTTTGTTTTTATTTCTCCATTTACAGCCATGGTTCTCCTGCAAGCTGGGTACTCTGAAGGCCCTGGGCTCCGAGCACCACCCCTTCCTGGCTCATTGCTATTTCCTATTTTTCCTCCTGCCCACCCAAGCTCCCAGAGCTCCACTGAAGGAAATGAGCCACCGTGCATCTGAATGTGGATCAGTAGAAGCCTCGGGTCCCTGCTACCACATGCCAGGCATGAGGACAGGGGCTTTATAGATGTGACTCTTTACAGAGGTGGTTTCCTGTTTTTTACCTGTAGTGGTAACTCACCTGTGCATCTCAAGCCTCTGGCACAGTATACATAGAGACTGAATGGATGTTTCCACATAAATTAATTCAACAATAAGCATAATCTGTAGATTGTATACCATATAAATTAAATTCAACAAAATAGAAGAGTTTTAAATAAAATGTTTCATTTCTCCATACTTAATATAAAAATACTACACAAAGTTTAATTTATATTGATTAAATCCTGTTGTATAAAAGTTGAGGCATTGTGTTCTGTGGCTATTGGTTTTATGACTTGTCATACAGTTATACATATGACTTTTGTAGTACAGTTATACATTAACCCTTTGATTTTGAGCAGTTATAAACTTATTATTTTAATACAACATCATATGTTCAGTACTAGCTATTACTTTCATCTAAAATAATTTAGTAATAGTACATGAATGATACTTTGGAAAAAGTAAAACAGTTAATAATTTTCAAAATGCTACTAAGAAAGAAAGACATCAATGTACACCTGATTTGGGGGATGACCATATTTTGCCCTGTGACTTCATGGAATCTGGGAGAGTAAACCAAAGCTTTTTTTAAGCTGGAAGGACACACATTGTTCTTTGAGTTCAAACCCTTCATCTTTCATATTAGGAACTATCTGCACACCAAGGTAAGTATAAGTGACTTATCTGCAGGCACATAATTACACAGTAAGGGAGATGTCCCAGGTTTCCTGATAACAAATCTAGACCTTTTCTATTTCATAAAGATGTTTATACTATAATTCAATCATATTTTTAAAAGATCAAATCAGATATCAAGGAAAACAAATACATGATAACCTTTTAGGCTAAAACAGCGCTAGAGCAAGTGTTTAATAAAAATGTGTGTCGACAGCTGTGATGCAGGTAAACGTAGTGAGTGTGGAATACAGAGCTGTAAAGACAGGTGGCTGAAGTCCACTGGTCACAGTAATTCATTCTGTTTCTTTATGCATTACTTTTGTGCATTCATTGTGTTTTCATTTGTATCACTTGAACTCAATTTTTTCCACAAAAATTTCTCATTTGATTTCCAAAGTGAGGTTTCCAGCTCCTCTTTCCTTTTGGAGGATGCAGCAAGGGGCACTTTTTCACACAGAGTCTCTATCACTGCCAAGTCGGTGAGTTTACTAAGACTGTCATCATTCTGTTCATTCAAGATGTCCCAGAAATCTTTTGGTCTCTGTTTTGCTTTTTCCATGGGCCCTGAAAGAACTTTCCTTGGCAGTTGTGTGGGACCGTTCCCATGACTTTTAAAGAGGTCATCAAGAATAGACGTGTCACCAAGTAAGCCTACCACAGAAGTGTCTCCTAACACTGGATTTTTTAGCTTTTTGTTTTCCACTTTGAAAAGGGGCTCATTTCTTGAAATGCCTGTTCTTGTTGGGTTTTGTTCATCTTTCATGGTATATTCCAATTTTTCTAACTCATCTGCTTCAGACTTAGTGTTCAGGGAACAGGATGCTATAATGTTTTTAGGGGCTTGGCTGTTTTTCCCACTGTCAGTCTCTTGGGTTGAACTTAGAGGTGATTCATTAGTTTCTCCATCATTAGAAAGCACCACTTCTCTATGGAAACTGTGATTTTGAAACTTAACTGATTTTTCTTTATGTATTTTTGGGCTATAGATTTGAGAAACTTTTTTGGAAGAATCTTTAAATGACAAAGTTTCAGAATCTGACAGCCTTTCTTTTATAAGAGATTCATTTTTTTCAGACTTATTCCTGACACTCTCTCTTTTCCGATGGGAAGATTTAATGAGTTCTGCATCAGAATCCACAAAAAAATCTTTTACCTCTGGATATTGAGAAGCATAAAAGTCTTTTAGCATTTTCTGTCGTTCTTCTGATGTGGCATTGGTTATATGGCTAGCAAATTCCTTTACAGAAGGGAAGTTAAAATAAGAAGCCATTTCTTGAAATTGTTTTCTGAAGATTTAATGAACAAAAGCAGAGGTTATTTTTATTACATTTTATTTTTAAAGAACTCATCACCATTGATATTATATAAAGCAATGTATATTTGACCCTTGAAAACAAGGGTGTTAGTTTTCCCCATGCAGTTGAAAATACAAGTATAACTTTTGATTCTCCCCAACATTAGCCTACTGTTGACTGGAAACCTTATTGATAACATAAAACAGTCAACACATATTTTGTATGTTATATGTATTGTGTGCTGTATTCTTACAATAAAGTAAGCTAGAGAAAAGGAAAATGTCATTAAGAAATCATAAAGAAAATACATTTACACACTACTGTATTTACCAAAAAAATGTTGCCTAGAAGTGGATTTACACTGTTCAAACCCATGTTGTTCAAGGGTCCCCTTGTAATTCTATTCATGCAGTGTACATTAGCTTAATTCCGTAATGAAAATGCATTTATTTTACACTAGCAGGATGTGACCTCTTTCCTCATGCTACTGAAAAAAACCTTTAGCTAATGAAGTCACCAGCTTTTTAAGTCATTCTGATTTATACATTAAGTATTTCCTGGGAATTGTGGGATTGCAGCATGCAATTTGGCTCCAGCCAGCCAATTTATGACTGATATGAGAATCATAATTTGTAGAACCTGTACTTGAAAATCTATATTGCATTTAAGTCCTACAATTGTCAAAGAAAGGTCTTAATGAATGGAAAAGAGAAAATTCTGAAAAAATAAAGGGATTTTTTTTCTTCTCTCTCCTCTTTTTCCTTCTCCCACAAATATAACATAGAAATTTCACAAACGTTTTGATGATCTTAAAGGAAAATTCAAAACTGATAAACCTAGATTCTTTCTTCTCCCACCTGGTTCAACTTGGGTATAGATAGCTAAACTAAGAAGTGAGATGCTATTTAAAATAGTGAGTTTGGGGATCCCTGGGTGGCTCAGCGGTTTGGGGCCTGCCTTTGGCCCGGGGCGTGATCCTGGCGTTCCGGAATTGGGTCTCGCGTTGGGCTCCCGGCGTGGAGTCTGCTTCTCTCTCTGCCTGTGTCTCTGCCTCTCTCTCTCTTTCTTTCTCTCTCTCTCTCTGTGTCTATCATGGATAAATAAAATCTTAAAAAAAAAAAAAAAGGCAGTGAGTTTCACTCTTGCTATAAAATACTAATAAAAGCTGTTTTATGCATATATGAGGAAATGGGCCTTCCAGAACCCTTGTAAGACAGAGGCGGAAAGAAAGATCATTTCAGAAGCCTAGACACCAGACTCTGCTCCCTTCCCCAGATAAGAGTGCTACGGACTGAAGTGTGTCCCCCTCAAATTCAGATGTTGAAGCCCTAATCCTCAGTGTGACTGGGTTTGGAGATAGATCCTTTAGAAGGTAATTAAGATTAAAGAAGGTCATGAGAAACCACCAGAGAGATCTTTCTCCACCATGAGAGGATGTGGTGAGAAGGTCACCATCTGCAAGCCAGGAGGAGAACCCTCACCAGAATCCAAATCAGCTGGCATCCTGATCTTGAACTTCCCAGGCTCTAGAACTGTGAGAAATAACTTTCTGTTGTTTAAGGCGCAGTCTGTGGTATTTTGTTACGGGAGACGTAGTAGACTAAGACAGAGGGATTGCTCTGATGATGCTGAGTTTGGGCCATGTATCAGGAATGCTCAATGTTCAGAGATATTCTTTTAAACAAAAGCCAGAGACAAGAGACAGTGTTGTAGCACATGGTTAATAGTCTCAAAGTTCTAGAATATATTTTTATTTTATATAATATTTCCTTAAAACAGTCATTTATGCATTCAACAAAATTTATAGACCCTTTATGTGATAGGCACTGTGAACAGCCCTACTACCATATTCTTTGAGGCATTTATAGTCAAGCTGGGGGGAGACAGATGCATACAAATCAAACGAGAAGGGAGTGATAAGTCCACTATGGATGTAAATATAGGGCCCTAGGGGTACCCACAGAAGAGGTACCTAAGCCAGCGATGGGTCATGGGTAAGGTAGCAGAGAAGGCTTCTTTGGTGCTACCAGTCAGGTAAGGATGAGCAAGGAAACTTTCCAGGCAGAGGGAGAACAGGCACAGGCCTACTTCTGAGAGGACCTGCACAGGGGGGCAGGAGAAACAGCTAAGGAAGAGGCTGAAAATCATGAGGGGTTTGTATGTCAATTTCAGAAGTCTGAATTTTCTCCTGAACACAACAGAGAATCCTGAAAGTAAAATAATTATTTATTTGTAATGTATGTAAATAGGAGCTTTAAAGCCACTGTTATTTTTTGCTGCTCAGGTGAGGTTATACAGTTTGTGTTTCCTGTGATTTTAGTGGCAATCCATCCCGCATGCTCAGGACTTTCTTACATGGCTCCAAGAGGAGCATGCTGGCTCCTAGTCCTTACCACACGGGTCCTGTTAACTGTTCCACATCCAGATATTATCTACGCCTGATCAACAGCCATTCCTAACGGCCACCAGGGTATTTAATAACACAAATACAAACTTCCAATTTTCTGTCCTGGAAATTGCCAGTGTTCTTGTTGGAAAGCAACAAGCACGTTCTTAAAAGGCTCCAGTTTTCACTTCATATGAAGTAATGAGGTATTATTATTTTGTTTATTAATCATCTCCAAATCCATTTTCATGGCATTCCTAACAAATATTTGTGCTGCAAAGATTAAGTTAATGGCAGAGTTACAGGCTGATGTCTTCTTATTTATCCAAGACTTGGTGGGGTCTCAGCAGCTGCCAAAGTACTTTCACCTTTGCTGTGCTGACTCACAATCCTACAATTCTGTCACTTCTGGGAGGAGAGCTGTTTCTGACCCATGTTATGTCAGTAATATGCAAGTAAATTAGATTGTGCCATTGCCCCTCACAGGATGAGTTACGATTATAATTCATTTTATTTTTGCCTTCTAACTTGCTTTCATAATTTTTGGTCTTTAAAAGAATTTTTTCTAAGTATTTAAGTAAGTGCAAGTTACAATCAGGAGGTGTAAGTTTAGCCACTTTTTTACAGACTCGATCCCGGGTCTCCAGGGTCACGCCCTGGGCTGAAGGCAGCGCTACACCGCTGAGCCACTGGGCTGCCCACGTTAGCCATTTTCTAAGAACAATTTAGTAAACTAGAGTAGACACTCAGAAGCCACTACAGAGAAAGGAAAAAAAGGAAACCAGAGATCAGTATCTCCCAGCAAATATATCCAGAGTGGTTGTATGTCATGATATAATTCTAGTTCTCTCCCCTTTGCCAGAGGAACTGAGGGAAAGGGGTAGAACCCAGCTACACCATCTTCTATTTGCCTGAGCTTTCTGAAGTGAAGGGGGGACTGAAACTTCATTCCAGTGACCTGAGGGCTGCAGCTGGTATAGATTCCAGAATCTCAAACAGGGGAATGGTTAGCAGGAAAGACGTCAGGAGTTCTGACACCATGCCCTGGCTCAGATGTTGGTATTCTAAGGTTAGCCTTTCACTTAGCCTGAGACATTTCTTCCCTAGGATGAATAGACAAAGAAGGAAGAAGGCAAAAACTAATCATTGTTAATAGTTTTATTTTTATATATAGTGCTAAAGGGGATAAGGACACTTGTGCTCCTCAAAAACTGGTAAAATGCATTATGGCCTGCCTCTCAGCAAAATAAATGCCTCAAGTAAATTGTCCCAAATTTGCCCAGAATCGTAGTTATAAGTCTGTTTAAGAGGAGATATGCCACTGTAGCATGTGGAGTGTTCACCTTTCTGGGCAATGGTGACAGCTGAGAGTCATGCTCCAACCCACCACACCTGCGCCCAAGGGCTGAGGAGCTGCCAAACCCTTGCAGAGAGAATCTCGAACCCAGAGAGCCATCACTATTTGCCCACACTCTGCAGAGGTCTTCAGGGCCAATTTGACCATGACTTGCATCCCTGCTTACTTCAGCCGCTACTCCTCACTTACCTGGAAACTCTCATCCCCTCCTTAGTCTCTCATCCCCTCCTAGTCTCTTCATCCCCAATTTAATTCAATCCCTCACCCTTCCAGACTGTCCTTCGATGCCCCCAGAACCAGGCTGTGATCTACCAACTGCCCTGTTCTTCTCCAGGAATGGTCCCTCTGTCCCCTCATACCACCTCCTCCTATGCAGCCCTCACAAGCTAAGGCTCCTATGCCTTACACCCTAAACCTCAGGGTTCATGGTTCACATTCCTGCTTCCAGACCAATATTCTCTTTTCTCTTGGAGATTCCTTCCCCTCTTTTAGGTTTATGTTATCTCGCTAAACCATTCTCTCCCTCATGTTAACTGATCTTTTAATTGCTTCCCACTAATGACTGAACACTCAAGATTAACTCTACTTCCTTTCCCATCTCCTGCCATCATCCTTTTGTTTTTTTAAAATTTTATTTATTTATTTGAGAGCGAGAGAATACAAGCAAAGGGAGGAGTAGAGGGAGAGGGAGAAGTAGGCTCTGCAACTGAGCAGGGAGCCCCATGTGGGGCTCAATTTCAGGACCCTGAGATCATGACCTGAGCTAAAGGCAGACACTTGACTGGGCCACCCAGGCGCCCCTCATCATTCTTGATAACACCAATATCCATGTAGATGCTCCACCTAATTCCAACTCCTGGCCTACCAATTTTCTTTACCACCCCTGACCCAAGACTCAACTGCATATCAGGTCCCTATTCCCAAGGCCACAGACAGCTACCATCATTACCATCAATTGCACAACCTGCAAATCCCTGAATTCACTCACCTCATACACCAGCTCAATCATTCAATTCCCCAATGACAACAATGCTGGAAGATACTTCTGACCTCATCAAGCCTCCCCTTCATCTCGTTTAGGTTCAACTTTGTAATTACTCCTTTGCAAACAACCTTCAGCTTCCTTGCTTCTCTTTCCCTCCATTCTAACTCCTGATAAAACCCAGGCATCTCTATTCTGTGTCTGCAATGGAGCAAGTGAAGCTTGCTGAACAAAGTCTGCACAACTGCATGCATGTTTCTTTTTTTTTTTTAAAGCTTTTATTTTTATTTTTTAAAGATTTTATTTATTCATGAGAGACACACACACAGAGAGAGAGAGAGGCAGAGACACAGGCAGAGGGAGAAGCAGGCTCCATGCAGGGAGCCCAATGTGGGACTCGATTCTGGGTCTCCAGGATCACAACCCGGCTGAAGGCGACACTAAACCGCTGAGCCACCGGGACTGCCCTGCATGGATGTTTCTATTGGAATTATTCTCAATCAGGGACTTAACATGAGCCATGAATTCTAGTCTCACTAAGCTTGCTATCCTACTTTTTAAGTGATTTATTATATGACTTTTCTCTCCTGAAATTTCTTTCCCTCTGAAATACTTAATTCTTAATACTTCGAGGAAATATCACTGTATCAATGCCTGTCTTCATCCCTTCATCTAGAAGGCTAGACCTTCCTCAGTGGCCTGGATCACACCCTCTCCTGCCTCTGGGACTTCTGTTATCATGTCTTTGGCATGATCTCTTTTTCCCCTATTAGTCTTTTCCCTCAACACACAAACAGGTTCTATTGTCTTCCCAACTTAAAAAAAACTTATCTTTGACCCATAACGGCCTCCAGCTCCTGCTACTTTTCACTCTCAAAGAGCTGTTACAGGGTCTGCCCATCCCCTGCTTGCCCACCACCTCACCCCGGCACCTGCCCATGGATTTACGGACTGCTCACATCAAGGTGGCCAATGAGTTCTCTGCTGCCAGTTCCAGGAGGCACTTTCCCACTTCATCTAATTCTGGTTCTCAAAAGCATTTAATAAAGTGCTCCTTCCTTTTATTGTGCCTCCTACCCAGCGGGCCACTGTCACCTGAAGGTTTAGTCTTGGGGCTTCTTCGCTCCTCTCAGTGCTAGGTAGGTTCCTAGGTTATTCACACAGTCAGTGGCTCTAAAATCATTTATAATCTCAATGCTGATGACTTCCATACCTAGATCTCCAGCCCCCAAACCCTAGAGGAGCATATCTATTGTCTATTTGGAATTTCCACAAAACCTCAAATTTAATATATGAGCAAAAAGAGAACTCTTGATTTTTTTCAATCCAAACTCTTCTCTTCCAGTTTTCCCTATTTAGTAAATCCAGTCTGTTGTTCCAACGACTAGTCCAGTACCAGACTGAATTCATGTATTTAACTGTCTCCATGACAACCACTGTATTGCAAACCACCACTGACTAGTCCCTTCCAGTTTCCCCTAATCTGCCTCTTCCACGCAGCAACTAGAACTATCTTTTGGAAACATACATCAGATCATGTTCATGTTTCAATAGCTTTCGGCTGCACTCAGAATAAAATCCAAAACTTGTCCACAACCTATAGGGCTTTGCATGCTCCAGCCCCACCTGTCTTGGCCTTTGTCTCATGGCAGTCTACTTGGTTCATGTACTAAGTTCACAAGTCTTCTCTCAGTTCCTTGAACACACCTGACCTCTTCCCTCCACAAGGATGTTCTTTTTTTTTTTTTTTAATTTTTTATTGGTGCTCAATTTGCCAACATATAGAATAACACCCAGTGTTCATCCCATCAAGTGCCCCCCTCAGTGCCCATCACCCAGCCCTCCCCCCCCGCCCACCTCCCTTTCTACCACCCCTAGTTCGTTTCCCAGAGTTAGGAGTCTCTCATGTTCTGTCTCACAAGGATGTTCTTACTCTAGTTCTTTGCCTGGTTATCTCTCAGGTCACAGATGTCAATTCTGTCATGAGGTCTTTCCTGAAAGCTATCTGCACCCTTCTGGATCCCATTATTCTCTATCAAGGAGGCCTGTCCACTTCTTTCTTATATAATTTTATAATTATTTATAATTTTTTATTTTTGAAAATTTTATGGTTCAATGCCAACTCCCACTGCACTATAAGCTCTATGTCCTTTTTTACCCTCTATGTTCATCACCCACCACAATGCCGGAGTACATGTTAGGTGCTCAATAAATATTCAATGAATGCATATAACGCACTTAATTATTTTGTGTATCCATATAAAATGATTTCATTTTTCATCAATTCAGGGTTTAGCTTTCTAAAAACATTTAAAATATTTGGAATTTATTTCTTAAAGTGTACAAATTCAGGTGCCAAGTATGGTTAAAATTCAAATAATTTGTATATTTTATTAAGTAGCTATATTTCTTTTGTGAATAATTCCCAAAGTCCAGTGTTTTTATAGATATACCTGCGGATCCCTTTTGGCGTTTCTCCAATTATGAAGATGGTCTGTTCTGTGCGGTAGACTATTTTCTTCTTCTTACTTACAGGGTGTGAAATGTAGAGAGGAAATGAAATGTTTCCTTCACTTAGTTGTTGGCCTTTCTCTGTACGTGTCAATGTATCTGTCTTCATTTTTTCTTTATGCGTCTGAAAAGAGAAGGAAAGCAAAAACTAAGTCTGAACAAAATAGTCATTTTTGGTCAAATGAGATGGCCTTATTTTTCCCCCAAGCTCTTTATAATCAAGTATATCATATTCTCCAACCAATTCCATCATGAGACATGTTAATCTAGATTTTTAAAAAGATGTAGGGAAAAATTACTTTTATATCTTTTTGAAAAGTAATGGCAATACTATGATATTTCCATGGTGTCTATGGTTTAAGATACATGTTAAAGATATATCTCTCTTAAAGTTGTAATAAAAGTAATAGCAATAATATGATGCCTTCATTGTCAAGACTGATTGCATTCTATATACATAGTGATATCCATAATACTAAGTGAAATAAAAAGTAATGATTATAAAAATAATGGCATAAAATGAGATATTTAAAATTCTTAAATTCAATAATTTCTCTCAATATTAGTAATCAGATTTTCAAGCATTTACTTTTATGTAAGTAGCCAAACTTTTAACAAATAATAATCTTTATATGATCAGTAAGTAAGAAATCATTTTCATAAATCCTACTTTTTAATCTCTACTGAGTGCCAGACTAATTAGTGATTTTAAGATGCTAACTACAGTTGGTTGAAATTACAGATAAAATCTTATTTATGTTACAGACTATATGGGTTGCTTGTTTAACATATATGGTTAAAAACACCGGGTCAAGAAAAAAATAATTTTAAACTATATGATTCCAATTTCCTTGTGAAGATGCTACAGCGAGTATGTGGAAAGTGCTATCCCATTCCAAAAAGAGAAATATTGGATACAATTTGATAACAACAATAGTAAAATTATATTTGAGCTTAGAAGTAAGAAAGGTAAATCTCTAGGTGTCAAAAGCAAAGAAGTAACATAGTGATGAATGGGAGTTAATGGCTTAAATTATATTCTGCAGGCCTCTATGTCTAGAGAGGAAATGAAAATGACTTTCTGCATTAAAAAAACAAACAAACCAAAAACAAAGGAGGAGTTAAGAGGATATCCAATTTGCAAATTAAAGCTAGGAAAGTCCAAACTGGGAACACAGGATAGAAGCAGGCTACCTTTATACTCTATATAGGAAGAATCACTGGTCAAATGTGGAATGCCCAGCCTGTGCCAGTTGTGGAATCTCATTTTGTAGCACCTGGGTGGTATGGGAAATCTAAGCTAAAAACCAACATAAAAAACTGGCCCAGAATCAGTGAAAACTATAGATCTCAATGAAGGATGAATTTAAAAACATACTATAGGAAGACTTCTATAATCCAAAGAATGCTTTTGATTCCAGGATGTGAGGAGTGGCGAGTTGCTCAGGCAAAAATTATGAGGAACATATAAAATCCACCACCATGAAAATGGGCAGGTGCAACAAATGTGAGAATACATGTTGGAGGAATTATAGATAATAAAGCAACCTGAAAGAGACTTTTTAAATCATTAGCATGTCCAGAAAGATAAAGGAATAGAATCTGCCAACAAGAATTGGGTATTATATAGGCAGATCTGAAAAAGAACCAAACACAAACTCTAAAACGGAAATATAGTTTTGAAATAAAAAGCAGAGATAGGAACAAGCTCAAAATATGAGTAAAAGCAACACACTGAAAAACAGCCCTACAGTGACAGTTGATAAAGTGGTAGAGTAAGAAGACATAACAAAATTTCTAAGATACTAGAAAGAATAGGGAAAACAGAAAAGATAATGCAAAGTTATAATGGCAGGTAACTGAAGAAAGCATGAATCCTCAAACCAAAAAAGGAGAGAGAATCTCGAGTGGGAAAAATAGTATTAAATCTGTACTTTGTTATATCATAGAGAATATCTTAAAAACTAGCAGGGAGAAAAAAACAAAATATCTCACAAAGAAATGACAATAACCTGAAGACAGACTTCTCATTAATACCATCATCACCAGAAGATAATTAGATGATACCTTCTATATGCAGAGAGGAAAAACTATAAACTTAGAATTCTATACCCAGTTAAACTATCATTATTCTTTTTCTCACACATACAAAGACTATAAGAAAGTACTAGATACATATTCTTGTTGATGAAATAATTATTTTTTCTTTTATAGGAGTTCACTGGGATTGAAATGGCACATATAAAATGAATGTGGGTAGGGAATAGTTTTTTATTCCACAAATATTTACTGAGCACCTGTTATCTTCCTGGTGCCACACGATGCAGTTGAGAATAAAGATATTTATATATACAAAGAGGCCCCAACCCTTAGGGGGCTTAAAAGCAACAAGCCATTTTTTATTTTAAAGATGGAATATTTAGTTTTCTTTTAAAAATAAATTATTTATTTCTTCAATTTATATTCAAGTTCATTTTCTTGAAAAACTGAACATAACACATATAGCTGTTCATTAATTTTTTTCTTTTCCTTCCTTCCTTCCTTCCTTCCTTCCTTCCTTCCTTCCTTCCTTCCTCCCTCCCTCCCTCCCTTCCTTTTCTTCCTTTTCTTCCTGTAATCTCTATATCCATCATGGGTACCTAACTAACAACCCTGAGATCAAGAGTCACATGCTCAGTCACCCTGTAACTGTATATTTTGTAGTAGCAAACCATTTCTTTTTCTTTTTTTTTTTTTAGTAAACCATTCTAATGAAAATAAATTGACTTCTTAAATATCTATTGCAAACCAGATGGACAAACACAAAATGTTGAATGTACTTTCCTCAAAGACAAAATTTCTTGAATTTTAAAACGTTAACAGAGAGGAAAATTGTGACCTTTAAAGATAAATTTGAAAGAGATTTAATACATTTATTTTACATCACGAGAAAACAGTTGAATGTTGAAAGTTTCCAATAAAAAGGCTCATCATTTTCAATGATCCCCCCCAAATAATAATCTATTATTGTAAGGAGAGATAGGATGTTTACATGAAGATAAAGAGAATAAACAGCAAAAGAAGGAACTGGTCAACCAAGAACAATTCCTCCTCATATAGTGCATTTTCTGAAGCCACAGAGAAATCATGCCAGACAATGGCAATTTTCAATAATTTACATGGTTACTCTGGGTTCTGACTCTAGCAGGATTAAAAGCTCACATTTTATGTGGATACATTTTTTAAAAGTTAGTTTTATAAATTCTTCAGGGAAATTCAGTTTTCCCAACAACAGGTATCAAACATGTGGATCTTTAGTTTTTGCCAAATATCCTATATTTAAAAACCTGATTATGTTAAACAATCATAAAAAAGGAAAAACATTCTTTCCCCACATGGGCTCAATAACCTATCCTTTATTTTTAAAAAATCCATCTAGATTCAAATTTCCATTTTAGTAGAGTCCTTTAAAACTTTACTGAAACAAGGCTGTGAAACAAAATTTTATTAATTAACTTAATAAACATCTTGGTGGTCTTATTATAAAGCTGGTTTCACTCTAGTAAAATAGTATCCTTTACAATAGCTGATACAAGGAAAGCAGTGCCAAAGTGCAGTTGCAATTGTAGTGATAGTTATAATTTATTATAAAGCAAAGTTCAAGGCCTAAGGCCAATATGAAAAGATTCCAGATTATGTGAATTGGACTCAAACTCATCCATTACCTCTATGTCAAAACTGTGAAGTCATATGATACTGAAGCAACATGATAAGGCAGCAATAGTAATTAAGGCTTGAGTAATGAAAAATTCAGTAAAATGAGCTAGATTAGGAATTGAAAAGACAACATTAGCATTATACCTCCTTAACACTAGGAGAGAAGGTGAGGTTGATTGATAAAGAAAGCAAAATGAATCCACTCCTCTTTCCCCTACAGAGTAGAATGGCCAACAACTGGAATACTATATCTGTATTTATAAAGAAATATTGCAATCATGACTTGAATAAAGCAGAAATGCCAGTTTCTGCAAAAGCTCCTAATTGTCCCTAATATTTTCTTTAAAAGTTTCTTTAAAACTATCCATCAAGATTTGCCTTAAGGAAGTATTTCTAGGGATGCCTGGGTGGCTCAGCGGTTAATAATCTGCCTTCGGCTCAGGGCATGATCCTGGAGTCCCAGGATTGAATCCCACATGGTGCTTCCTGCATGGAGTCTGCTTCTCTCTGCCTGTGTCTCTCATGAATAAATAAATAAAACCTTAAAAAAAAGGAAGTATTTCTATATTCTGTGGTTCTTATGAAACTTACCTTCATATGACAATTTGTGATTATAATGATAAGGAATTATAGAGAAGAACTTTGTACAGTGTTTGCATAATATAAATATTTCTGCTAGTATTTTAGAAAGCTTGACACTATTAGAATATAATTTATAACTTAGTAATTGCTATATTTATGATTATTTGCTTAATTACTGAGTATTGTTAGGTGTTTCTGCTATAGTGTCTGTATGAAAAGTCAAATTCAATTTATGGAATCTTTATTAAAAATAAAACTTAGTGTAAGGAACATAGTCATCATTTCTAGGTAAAAATGCAGTTAAAAATCCATTTGAAGGATGCCTGGGTGGCTTGGTGGTTGAGCGTCTGCCTTTGGCTCAGGGTGTGACCCCAGGGTCCTCGGATCAAGTCCTCGGATCAAGTCCCTGCAAGGAGCCTGCTTCTCCCTCTGCCTGTGTCTCTGCCTCTCCCTCTATGTCTCTCATGAATAAATAAATAAAAATTTAAAAAATCCATTTATAATGAGATTAGTGGAATGGAAATGGGGAGCTACTCAAGAAGGTGGATTTATCAGAGAATCTTGAAGTAATCATTCTAATCTATGAACCATAATGTGTCTTCCTCCTACAGACATAAACATACTATATGGAGCAATCAATTGAGAATTGAAAAAGTGAAGGAAAAACTGTCCTTCAGACCACAGTTAAACAAGGCTAAAAAGGTAAAAGACAGGCTATGTCTGATTATGTAAATCTTAATCTGATTTATGCAATTAAGAATTTAAACACATGATGTGTTATCTTTACAAAAGTAATTGTTATTAAAACTAAAATTCATAATATAAAAATTTGTTCAATTCAGCTAA